AACAGGGATGATTTAGGTACCCAATGACATATTCTCACCAGACACATTGGTGTCGCAGGAGCTCTAAAATCAGGGTACAAAGAAAAACCCGTAGTAACAGCAGACTTACGTTGACGAAGAACGGAACGATGAGCATGACGATGGCCAGTTCCAGGTCAGGATTCTCTATGGGGTTGAGAAGAGCCAGCTGCGACACAAACATATACAACAAACACAGACATAAGCATACAGAAGAACACTGACAGCACAGCCAGCCTTAGACTTACAGTTCTAAGGTCAGTAGGGCAAACACCACAGCTTCTGCATTCACAGCACTGACTGAATCAGACAGAAACTACCAAACATCTACAGAAAGAGTATGGAAAGTGTTTTAAAGGAGTATTTACCATACGTAATAGTTTGATCAAATTTGTTGAAGGGATTGTTCTAAACCACCCCTTTTAAATTGGGTGATATCTCTTACAGAATCAGATGGTTTATTCTGCCTGAGATGTTTACCCGAACCAGTGTGACTCTCACTGAGTTTACTTTCAGATTACTAGAAGGTTAAAAAAGGCCCTACATAAATGTGTGTGACAACATAAGAAACTTACATGATAAACCATGCATACCTAAACATACACTTTAACATGGGAGGGACTGGAGCACACTGATTATGTTACAGCAGCAAATCTGCAGACTACTGTTTTGACAGCTCTTTTCTGTCTTTTATCAGAACAAGAATGAAGACAATTCTTTTGACTCTGATGAACATAGACTAGTTAAACCATTTAATAAAAGTCTTACAATAAAAGCTAAAAATGTATCAGTATGATCATGTCCTTTCACCTGGCAGGCTACATGACACAGCAAACATTTCCTTGTTTATTCACAAAAAATTTCTCCATAAGCATTTAGGTGTTGTACATTATAAAATTTGAAATAACAAATGTGATCCACCACTAGCACACACACACTAGGATTCGGCACTCTCTCCGCCGCGGCCTGGGTTCCGATTCCCGGTCAGGAAAAAACTAATTATACAGCACACAGGATAATAAACACTGTAGTATTTCAGATGTATGTGTGTGTTTGAGCGAGACACATGATTTCACGATCTAGTTAACAAAGATAGTGCTTTTCTAAATACTATGCTCATCATTGATCTAAATTCCTATGGAGAGAAGGAGAAATAGCAAGAGTTATCAGAAGGCAGCACCTACAGAATCAGAACTCAGAAATACTTACCTGATCCCCGTGTTGTTAACAAAGACTAATTACTTTATAATCCCATGCAGCCAGGGGTGCTGGAGCATGAAGCAAGAGAAAATTGACAAAAGCTTTTGATAACAACTGTGATCCACCACTACCAGAGAAACTCACACTCTTCCAGGTGTCCCTGATAGTCTAGTGGCTAGGATTCGACGCTCTCACCGCCATGGCCCGGGTTCGATTCCCGGTCAGGCAACAAGTTATTATGCCAGCACACTGGATAGTAAACTGTATAGTATTTTAGACACACATGTACAGCATATGAGTGAGACACATTCAGGATTTAAAATATGGACATGTTCAGCTAGAGATTCCTCAAACTGGTCAGCTGCAGTTGTGAGCAGAAATAAACCCCTTCTCGCTGTAGGACTTTAGATCAATGATGAGCATGCATAGTATCTAGAAAAGCACTAACTTTGTTAACTAGATTGTGAAATACAGTGTAAAATCAGGAAAGTATCGCACTCGAGTACACCTGCATGTGCGTCTAAAGTACAGTTCTTGTTATTAGCGTGATGTAAGTGACATACGACATTCCCTGACAGGGAACCAAACCAGGGCTGCGGCGGTGAGAGCGCCAAATCCTAACCACAAGACCACCAGTGAAAACACATTGCCAGCTATGTCTTGGAGATTGTGTCTTTGTGAAACATGACATCTGTTTTACTGTTGCAAAAGGGAGCTGCCTTTGCACAATGTCTGTTTCCATAGTTATTTGAGTAATAAGCAACTGTACATCACTCCTGAAGCAAATGATGGTACAGCTATAAACTCCATCACTGCCTGATTTGGCATTAAATAAATGGATGAGCAATCATTTCTTAAAGTCAAACTAATATCCTACTAGTCGGCCCTAAAAAATGTGAAATAATGTTTATTAATGCGGGAAAATTAACTCCTTGCATTAAATCTGAGGTTACAAGTCTTGGTGTTGTCCTAAATTCAAATCTAAGATTTAAGTCCCACATTAAAATGGTGAGGAAAACATAATGTTGAAACACAGCTAAAATATGACCATTTGTAAATCAAAAAGATTCTGAAAAATGGATTCCTGCATTTATTTCAAGCAGACTCCATTTCTATAATGCACTTTTTACTGGCTTTCAGAAAAAAAGAAAAAACAAACAAACAACCAAACAAAAACACTGAGAGGCTATTAACCAGAACCAAGAGGAAAGAGCACATTAATCCAGTTTTAGCTGCACTGCAGTCTTCCTGTAACATTCAGTATTGATTTTAAGGTCCTCCCCCTTATATACAAAGCCGTTAACGGACTAGGACCTAGCTACATTGCTAACTTCCTTATTAACCATTTGCCTTCAAGATAACTGCCATCATCTGCAGCTGGTTTATTGGAGGTTCCCAGGAACAGCCGAAAGAAAATCAGGGATGCTGCCTTTGTCAATTACTCCTCCTCTTTTTTGCACTTTGCTTCACACTCTGTTGTAAGTTGTTTACTTGATTTATGCATTATTTATACTATTATTATTATTATTATAAGTGCTATTCAATTAAAGTTATTATTATAACTAAACCTACCAATATACCCTGCACCTTTAGCAAGCTAAAACAAAACCCACCAAATGTTTTCAAATGGTGCAAACAAGACAAGTGAAAAGATCCGACACAGCAGCTTGCTGAGTGAGAGATAGGGCTGCTTCATTTAGTCCAAATACACTATATATAAATGTGTTGTCTTGTTAAAATTTTTTATTTTCCTCGACTAATTCACTTGAGAGGGTCAAAAGGCAGGTTAATAATGGCTCTGGAAAGTACTACAACACTTTTAAGTATTGAGAATTCCTCTTGAACTGAAAAAGATCATTATGATATAAATGGGCACTCATTTCACCTGCTGTCTTTTCAAATCGTTCAAATCACCATATTCTCCAAAATGTCTTTTTTTTTCTGACCTTCTTCCACTGGGGGATGAGGAGGACCAGCATGATAAGGACTTTCTCAAACATCATGATGAGGATGTAGAGGATACACTGGCCCAACCATGCTGTGCACTGCACTGGCTCTCCTACACATACACACACATGCACACAGGAAAAGAGAGACAGTTACTGTCAAAAAAATTAGAGAGAATATAATTAGATCATGTAGAACAGATCGTTATTAGATTTCACTGCTTCAGTGTGACACAAAGTGTTTTGGGGAAACAAGAAGACACTGGCAACAAAAGACATGACATTGCAGCAGTGCAGTATTGAGGGGGCAGCTACTGCCCTCCATTGGGCATTACAGGCATTTTAGGAATGTGCTGGAGCTCCCACTTTTCCTCACCATATTCTCCAAAACGCAGAGAGTCCCACTGCCTCCATTCTACAATCGCACTGACAGCTCTCACCCCAGCATAGATCAGCAACATGCCCAGAGAAGCATCCAACAGGAAGTTAATGAGGTAACTGAGAAAGACAGAAAGGGAATGTTAGTTAAAGCAGTAGTCAGCACTTTCCTTCACTTGAACAGTTTCTTGGAAATCTTTATGTAACATGCAGGCATCATGGGGCTCTGAGGAGAACCGTGACACACATGATTGACTCACAGTGAGCAGGGATCCTCCTCTGTGAGGTCTGACAGGTAGACATTAGCAAAGTGGATAAACAACATCCCAATGGCCTGTTTTGAAGTGTCCAGGAACCTGCGGAGAGACCGGACGGTTGAAATGCATCCGAGGCACCCCACCGGGATTCATTTGATGCTTTTGCAGAGAAATGAATGTAAGCTGGCTCAGCTGCCTTACCAGATTCTCCAGGGTCTCCTCTCATGTTTTGGCTCCCTGAAGCGTTTCACTGTGGAGGAAAGAGATGGCCACAAAGAAATTGGGATTTTACCACAGATCACTCATACAAACACAAAATCACAAAATCTTTTGTTTTCATTGAACCAAGTTACAACCATCCTGCGAGCTGTCAAAGGTCCAATGAGCATTGCGTTGGTTTTGTAAAGCTATCTATTTGTTTAGTACAAATGAAAATGTTGCCTCGTACTGACATATTTATAATTTAGAAATGTGACAGTGATCTATGAACAAGAACTGAGCAAGAGCAAATGTTGTTGGTCACAGAGGAAGTAGAGCTAGCAGTCAAGAACATGACCTAAACCAGCTAATACCATATGCAGTGCAACAGCTACAAAATTATTAATCCAATACCCTTATTTTTAGCTCACTGCTAAGTTAACAGGAAACAGGGAGATGTTTCTTTCAAGATGGCCAAAAAAAGAGAAGTGGATCTAAATTCTTCAGTGTTTGATCATCTAAATCGTAGCCTGGCCAAGTGTAAAAACGTAGTAATAAAGTGATGAAGATCTAGCTGTCCAGAATGAAACTCATCTGCAGTAGCAAAGTGATAGTCTGTGCAAAACATTGTTCCCCAGGTAACAAACACTACAACTACTGTATGTGTCAATGCGAATGCTACTCTGGGATGTTACGGGAGTTTTAGAAGTCCTGTGTGTAAAAGAGTCTGAGGAGTGTTACGCAAGAAGGCTCATCATTGAGAGCAGTGAAATGTCCAACACAAATAAAGCTCTTGCTGTTCTTCACAATAGTGACTTGTTTTCCATGACACCCCCACTACCCTCTTATGACACAGTGCTGTATGAGAGGGGAACCACATCATGATATCACCGATTTACTTTTCCCAACATCAGACACGGTCTCTCTCTAAATGAACTGTTCAAAGCTGTGGTACCTCACGGACCCCTTAACTCACAGAGAACACGTCAAACAAGCTTACCTCTCAAAACTTCCACAAAATACTGTGGTGTTGCCCAAACAGTTAAAAAAGGCTTTTAGTGTTTTCATGCTGCAAGTTATACTGCGAGCTGTGACCACAGTTTCTGCTCTGAGCACAAGTGTGACTTTGGACTAAACACACCCTGCGTGCAGCTGGGAGGAGTAAGCCAAAGCGGAGCTCAGAGAGTTGCCTCGGGCAAAAAAAGAAAAGAAAATGAACAGGTCTAAAATGCTGATTATTCCCCACTGCTGCGAGGCTGCATGGACACACACAAAACTGAGGCTGCTCTCATTAGCTCACACAGATGTCAGTGCTAGCGCCAGACACTGACTGAATGGAGCCATGGCTAAACCAAGAGTGTGATTTTCATCTTTCGATGCCAATGATCTAAATATAATATCAACCGCCCAGCTCGAACATAAAGCCACCTTAGCTGGACATGGAAACAAACAAACCTGAGCAGATGATTCACAGGGAGACATGAAACAAGAATGAGCTTAGCGGACAGCAGTTATGAAAAAGTAGTTTGTGCAGTGAGTATATTTTTAAAACGCACACATTAGTTCAGTAGTCAGTAGAGAAATGACTCTGACTTTTATTGTGAAGCAGTCACAGGGTATATTGAGTAAAGAATGCTTGAGGTAAATAAACCTTACTCAGCAAAAGTTATTCTAAATACATTGTGATACATTGTGTTTTTTGTCTGCAAATCAGTATCACACAAGTGAATTGAAGCTGGAGGTGCTTCTTGCCGTCTGGGTGAACCTCCAACACACATAAACAAGGTAAGCGGTCTTTGACTCTACCACTGCTGTAGATGACAATTTTCATGACATTTTAAACATAATGACAAAAACCCTTCGTGAGAACAATAGCTGTTCCCTGTTAGGAATTGTACTGACTTAGTTTTAACCTGATAGGGGCAGACTAGATATAACATAGCAGGAAAGGTCAAGTGTGCCATGAGGTGTAGAGTGTAAGTAAGCAGCTATTATTACAACTACAACCAATAAAGTAGTCACCAGGTGGAGTGTTACATTTAGTTTTCCAATAGACAGAAAGCCTTTCTTGATCATACTACTGTTTGCCTTTTCCTGTTACAGAGTTGGGGCATGAGCCTCCCAGCTGAGATCAATATCACATTTGATTAACGAGTGATGCTATTGGATCATTGCCCGGTTTCATCAGCAGCTGGAGTCAGATATCTGGCACACGGCAGACCTCTGGTCATACTCACACATCAGCGTGCTAAAAGCCATCACAGCGAGAAGTCCTTGCAGGAAAATGCCAAACGAGTCCATCAAGGCGCCGTTCTCGCACCCCCGGTTGTCAGAACCTGGCGTCGGGCTGGAGGACACCGACGTGTTGGTAAAGGTCACAGCGGGCAGCCCCGCTCCTCCTGGACCTGCCAGTGCCACGTTTCCGAGCTGGGACAACATGTTGACACCACTAACAGCAGCCATGGGACAGAAGAGGCAGACGAGACTTATTAATAAAGCCGAGGGCTGTAGCTTCTCACACTGCAGCGTGCTTCCCAGTTCCCTCCAGCAGTTGGTCAGCTATTGTTACGCTGGACAGTCTTCGGTGAAAGATGGAGGCATCCTCTCCCTTCCAAGCGGGCTCATTCTTCTGCTTCAGACACACATAGTTGTCATTGTTTTGTTATTGGAAAAGTAAAGCCGTCGGTCAAAGGGGTTTACAGTAACCCCTTGCAGTAACGTCCTACGCAGCTGTAACTAGTTTGTCAACACGCTTTGAACCGAGCTGCAACATTAAAAATCAATAGCAGGTATAGAAGGTCCTGCAGCAGAAAAACAACAACGTTATCCTAGCGCGACCTGGGATCTGTGAGCTAACACCGGTAACGCACAGGGGCTACACACGTGTCATGTCGCTACTCCAACAAACCAATCCCGCGTTTATAAGTTACTTTATGTTTTGTGCAGCGCAGGTCAGCCAGTAAGAGGGGGGATTGTGCCGGCAAACGCCCATAGTAAAAAGGGGATCCAGCGGCTGAGATGCTATCACCGTTACCAAGCTAACTAACTCAGTTGCATTAAGCTAACGCTGGGCTAGCAAACTTATATTTTCTCTCAGCCGCTGAAAGCAGCGGGTGCACCGGCTGCTCGTGACTTGAACGCCTGTGAAAACAGCTCGTCGGTATACGAAATAAATGAATGTGAATAATTGCAGGTCACGGCTCGCCTTCTTCCAGCTGCTTCCCAGACCAGCAGTGCCCACTCCTGTTGACAGACGTAACGTCATGTGACAGGCCTGCGCAGCCACGAACTGCATGCTGGGAAATGTATGACAAACACCAGGGGCAGTCTTCACATCAGGTTAACAGTTTTAATTGCCGTCTTTTTAAATAGCTGTTATATTCTTCAACCGTGAAATAAAACGCTGTTCCCTTAAATACAGCAGAAACTACAAGCAAAATGGGGGCAAAAAAAACAAAACATTACAATAGATCACACTACAAGAACAATTGGTAGGTAAAAAGAAGAAAAACTTAGTTACAAAAGCATTTTGAATATCTTTAAAACATCACACTTTTCATTAAGTTAATTGTTTAAAATAAGACGTCAATTATATAAAATGGTTCAAATAACATTACTTATAGCTGAAATTGTTTTAATCATACACTCCATATGAGTTCAGGCCTATTCTGTGCAAATGCACTGTATATTTAGGGCATTTACACATTGCTTATGTGGAAGAGTTAATTGCTCTTTTTTTTCCTCTAATCACCCTGTTGCACTAGAAGATACTTGATTATATACACTATATACAAACATGCACTGTCATATTTGCATACCACAATACAGTACATGGTTTTCCTTGTGCTTGCAATACAGAATCCTTGCACTGTAAACTGTCCTTACATACAGTAGAAGCCTGAACAAGAAAGCAAGTGTATCTCTTGAAATGAAGGCCCGCTTTACATGTGTTGTTGATTGTATCTTAATCCAGCTGGATAACATTTGCAAATGGTGTTGGTATAGTACACATATCTGGTGTTCACACTAAAATCTAATTCCTTACCTTGCAATGGCTCCCTATGACTTATTTCAAATCAATTATCACTATCTCTAGTTTAATCTTACCTCTGGCTTTCAAGACACTTGAACTGTGACACTGAACTGAACACTATGAAAACAATTATTTTTGTCTTAATGGGTTTAACAATGTTTTTGAGAATAAGTCTTTTCTTAAAAACATTATAAACCACAAGACAAATGCTTCCAATCTGTTAGTGCTCCAAGATACAGCTTGGAGCTTTTTCACTTAAATGATTATGAAAATAATGTAATCATCAATCTGTTTTTTTAAGTGCTTCAATGTCAGTGCACTTTCACATACAGTGTATACAATTTCATGACATAAATGTTGACCATCTTTTCAGTGAAATTAGACATCAGTGTGAAATCACCTGATTAGGAGGCGGGACCACCTCATTTGATTCCAGCAGACATTACCAAAGGTTGACAGGCAGATACCAAATGTTCTAGGGCTAATGCTGCATTCCAGGCAACTCGGAACTGGGAAATTTCCGACCTCCAACTAGAAAAACTACCCTGTACTTCACGAGTAGCAGCTGAATTACGTCACAAAAGAATGGCAGCTCCCATGGAAGCACACAATGTAAACCATAAACAAAAAAGCAACAAAAAGTACATTTGCATGTATTTAAATTAAAATAATACGTACAGTCATATAGAAAAACCTGTTCTGTATGTACATTGATGTAGAAATATGTTAGGCCTATTAGGTAGCTGGCTACAGTAAAGAATCTCATAAAGTGATCTTCTCTCATTGTTTTGTGACGTAATTCAGCTGCTACTCCTGAAGTCGGGGTAGATATTTTTTCTCTGAGTTCACAAGTAGGAAGTCTGACTTCAGGTGGCGTGCCAGGATAGTTTTTCTAGTTGGAGGTCGAAAATTTCCCAGTTCGGAGTTGCCTGGAAGGCAGCGTTACTCACTCTTCCTCAAAGAAAGAGGAAATAAAATAGAAGACTCCGAGGCATTCAGAAGTCATAAATAAATAAAGAAGCCTTTATTAGAGAATAGCTAGAAACCAATCTGTTGCTTGAAAGCAAGTCCTTGATGATGGCTTGCCTTTTCTGTTTTTTTTTCCTGTGCAAAACATGCTGTAATTAATAAAGGCTTTTACTTATTTATGGCATCAAAGTGCCTTGAATTCTTCTGCCCTTCAGTCCTTTTCCATGCGTTTCCTAAACAGCACCTGAACTGTTTTGTCTATGTAGCTGTTCTTTGTTCTTTCTTCGATGATCAGAAAATGTTGCATCATCCATCTCATGTCCAGGATTGTCCAACACCATGCGGTAAATGCAGGATTCTGTGTCCAGTGTTTAAAAAGTCAGAATGGGAAAATACAGCGTTTTTTCACAGGATTGACACAAAGAACAGGATATAGCCACGCCAATGTTCATTCCCCGTCAGCTACGTAGCAAACTGTTGATAAAATGCCAGCTTGACCCTCTCAATGTGGTGGCACAGCTTTATGGCCGGTCCCAGCTTCAGGTCCATACACTCTTGCACTGTAGGGAGGTTCAGCAGCAGCAGCGCCTGTCCATCAATCTCCTACAACATAAATTCATATGAGATGCAGTTTCTAAAATTAGTGTTTAAGGTATGTTTTCTATTTGTGACTGTGGATACAATACAAGTGCATTTATTTCAGTAGAGGGGAGTGAGCTCTCATCCCAAGTCAGGCCATTACGTCTGTGAGTATTTCTTACCTGATCTAAGAAAATCCGTGCAAGAGGTGCACAGTCAGTGGTCCTGATGAAGCGAACCACATCAGTAACACTCCACTCCAGTGGGCTGGTGTCCAAACACAACTTCTGAGGAGGCTCAGTCTTTGAGGTCTATAAACACACAGACGGGATGAGTTAGTCACAAAGATACTCAGAGATCTCCCAGCTCAAGTAGAAAGGCTCACAGCTCATTTGAACCTTTACATTTGATGATCAGACCTGAGCATGCAACAAAATAATCGCTGGCTGTTTCAGTCTTGTTGATTTCATCAGAAGCTGTTTAGAGCAAGTTGAGGTCACAGTGAAAACATAATTTTTTTTAATTTAAATGGAGGAAGAGAAAGGCAGTATTTAATGGAAGGGGAGGGATTGTGCAAAAATCATACATTTTGTACAAGCGTATTTTGTACACATTATTTTCAGTATTTATTGCTACCGAGTCATTTTAAGACTCTTTGTGACTTTCATAACCTTTGGTGAAGGAGGACGGTTCTCATCATCAGAGAATGAGGGCGAGCGGGGTTTCCGGCGCCGGCGTGTGGGTCTAGGTGTTGCCGGTGGGGAGGGGGACGGTGTGGTGGGCTGGGACTTCCCAAATGATTGTTCAGAATCATCCTGAAGATCATCCTGCAGCTCAGAGCCAGAGTCCTCACTCAGGGAGTCATCTTCATCCAGATCTTCTTCCTCTCCGCTGCCCTGCGAGCCACAGACCGGGACAACAAACAGCTCTTTAGCACAGATTCAAGTAATGTGTGAGGAAGAACCAGAGTTAACAATGTTGGTTTAACAATGATGCAATTCATGCATCATTAATTATAAAAATATATGAATGTGTGTGCATTACCTGTGGAGACCCAGCAGGCGTGTTGTCCACTGAGGCTGAGGAGCGTCTCTTCTTATGGACAAAGAGCTGCTTCCTCCTTTTTCCTCCTCCTCCCTCTTCTCTTCACTCCACCCTCCAGGTTGGAGTGGCCTCCGGGTGGACGGCCAACGCGTTTACTCTTCTTCTTTCCATAGTAATATGCTGGTGACAAGACAACATGCTTATTGTGTAATGTTGCATTTGACATGTCTGAAAGGTTTTAGTATATCATAAAGATGGATGGAAATGAACTGATCAAACTGATTTTAAAACTGATTTTAAAACTAAAGCAAAGCGGTGGAGGATATGTGGTATCTGGAGTGATGTGAAAACATATGAGACAAAAGTGAAACTGTAATGGTTCATCTGTTGCAATCAAATTGCATCAGTTTCTTAACCCCGACACTGCAGTGCAGCGGTAAGTAAACATATCAACAAATCTGTGACTTTGTACTGTTGAAACAGCTCAGTAGAAGATGAAACACACCAATTCTGACACGTATTTTTAGAAAAACCATACCTGCGTATTCATTGCCTGTGGAAAGTTATTGCAATTTCCAAATCACAAATTCTATCCCTCGGCTTCACAGAATTTTTGTATTCATTAAGGCAACATTTATGTATTCATTAATCATTTCTATTCATGAGCAACACAAATGAAAAGAATTGAACGTTTCTGTTAAAGGAGAGCAAGTATACCGATTTCTAAGCTGATCATCTGATAAGTCATTCAGTTTTATTCATAAGCATAGCTCTTGACAATCAGCCGTTTGTAGTTCTGTAAACCACGTACTGTATTTGGTCTTGGTGAGGACAGAGCAATTCTCCGAGCAGCGGTCCAGAACCATGCGAGGTCCAAACAGGTTCGGACAGCACTCTAGTTTGATGCAGGTTTTCCTGCAGAAGTCTGCCACGCGGTCTGCAGTACGGACTATTTCCACAGTAGCCCGGTAACTCTTTCCCTTGTACCTGACGTTTTAAGAAAAGCATGGTTAAGCAGTAAATAAACTGTGATAAATCTTTTCACACAATATTTAGGTTTAAAATGCCTTAATTATGCTTAACTTTAAGCCTTAATATAATTTAAATGGATGAGCACAGTCATCATGAAGGGGGAACTTAGCTATAGAGGCCAAAACCGTTTTTTTGTACCAGACTGTAAACATTTTTATTCCTGCTGTATAGTTGGGCATTTTAACATGGAGGGTCTCTGGAGATCGCTTTTGGAGCCAGCCTCATGTAGCCATTCGGTGAACTGCAGTTTTTGGAACTTTGGCAATGGCTTCATTTTTCAGCCCTGAAGGTTGCAGCTTGAGTCAAGACCGTTTAATCCAGCATGTGTTCAAATATTGGCCAACATGCCTACTATTCCTGCAGGTTTTGCATGTGTTCGGACAATTGTGAGCTGAGGATTTAATGGCGTTTTCCCTCACTTGGCTTTGAGTGTCTCTCCATGGCCTTGCCAGCGACTCTCTTGGTCCAGCTGCAGCTCTCTCAGCACACGGCTGGGCTTGTAGGCCGAGTTTATCAGCAGAGTCAATACCTGGAAACAAGATACATAGACTTGCAACACTTACAGGTTTTATCTGCAGGTTAGAGGGTTATGACTTTTATTCTTTAATGGTGCTATGTGTCACATTTCAACATCAAACCACATATTCATTTTTAAACAAGACTTTCATTACCGTTAACGTAACTGTTGGCAGAAGATTAGCAGCCTTTACTGGCATCTACATTGTGTGCCATTGGTTATTAATTAGTAAGATTGCTTTATTATAGAAAGGGCACTGCTTTACCACACAAAGCAGAGGGACAGCCCTCTGCTTTGTGTTTCTTGCCATGGTACATGTGACACACTGATAAAAATCAGTTTATTGAGAATGGGGGGTAGCAACTTCCTCTTTCTGTCAGCATGCTAAAGGGATTATGGGAAAATGTGGTTTTAACACCATGCAATGAGATAAAGGCTCTAAGTCATCTCCAACATGAATTCATTTGTTTCCACTAAATATTCATAGGAATGAAAATAGCTGAACCATTCTACAGCAATGCTAGCTGCCTTGTGACTTTTGCACACCAGTGCTTTGAACTAAATGCTAACATTAACATGCTAACATGCTAACATGCTTACAATGACAATGATGATAAACTTGATTTTTAGCAGTGTGTTAGAATGCTAATACTAATGTATTGCTGAGGCTGATAGCGATAGCGATGCCATTAGTTTTGCAGGATTTTGGAAATTTTTGATATGGAAAGGTAAGGGTTCCTCAGCTTAAAATTTATCCTCTGTGAATCCTGAATGTCTATACCGAATTTCATGACAATCCATCCAATAGTTGCAGACCTACTGACTTACACATTGCCATCAACTGTCATGTTTTTGTGTAAGGATTGATTGTTTTTTTGTGTGCGTGTGTGTGCATGTATGTTATTCATACAGCTGGATTAGCCCCTCTCACCTCTTTGAGCACGAGGACACAGTTTCCAGGGCCAATGAACTGAGGCAGCTCTGCAATGCGTCCCTTGTTAAGGTAAGGGCCAGAGAAACAGCGGTGGTTGAAGTAGATCTTGGGACAGCAGTATTTCCCATTCCCTTGTCCTAAACACAGATAAAAATTGAGACACCAGTTATGAAACAACCACAGTCTACACAGATAGTCAGTTGAAGGCATAATATCCTAGTTTGAAATCTTTCAGTGAGACCTGAGACAAACCACTCACCTGTCTCTGACTGGTTGGCCATCTGCTGCTTGACAGTGTCAGGTGATGATGACTTCAATGGAGCTCGGCTATAAAATGATGAAAATTGAATCAAGTGATGAATGGCAATCTGACTCGATCCATTTAAATCAATAAGCCTGTCACCACCTCCGCACCTTCCTTCTATACTCACTGTTTCTCAGGCTGCACCACAGCAATCTTCCTCTCTTTTTCAACTGAAAAACAAGGAAAGACTAATGTGTGCCCAGTCACACTATTACATTATGCCACTAATTGGGAGGTCAGGGTACACACCAAACTGTATTATGTCTGTCACAGCATTAGTAACAGTCTTGTTAAAGCAAATGTGTAAAAACCATAAGAGTCCACTATAATAACTGGTGTTGTATACCTGAGGGTTTGATGGGGTAGACGAGCGGATAGCCATTTGTCTCACACCAGCTGACAGGGAAGATGTCAAAGGAGTCCACATGAACTATCAGCTCTGGCATGGGCTGCTTCAGTCCTGCAGATACATATACACACAGACACAGCGCTATTAGAAAATCACTCACAATACACCAAAAGATATCATAGACTACATTCTCACCCGGTCATGGAGGCCAAATTCAGCTAGAGCAACTGGTGACATAGTAACATACTTCACATACAACATTAATTTGAGCTACAATCAAATCAAATAAATATCACACAATAGTAAAACTTACATTTAGGTTCCTCATTTACTTCTTTGCAAGTATACACATAAACATCATCTTTTGATTATACAAAGACAACACAGGATCTTCTACAATAAATGACAATTTTGTATCTGCAGCATATATACATCAAAATGTCCCATAAAAAAGGGAAAAACAAATATTTGAAAATGATCTTCTTGATCAGCTTCATACTGTAAGAGAAATGTTGCCTGGGAGACTCCACTGTCAATCAAATCTGATCACATTTTTGAGAGCTACTCTACTACCCCTTTTTTCCAACTCTTATTAACCCCCTTCGCTTCAAACATAGCAGAATGTTGTATGTGAGCTGTGCAAAATCTGTTTCTCTAAGACTTTATAATCTCCAAAGCAGTGATGAACTGGAGTAAAATAATATAATCTGTGTATCTGACATTCCTGCGTTCTCCATAGAAAATCGGAAAACTAGCCACTGAACTAGGGAGCCAGGAAATCCAGATTAGACCCGCATTGATTAATGCTCTACATGACATGGCCGTCAATAAGCTGTTGGACTCAACAGAAATGATACATCAGCTAAAACAAACACATTCTCTCAGTACCCCATCTTACCTTCCAGACTGAGCCAAATGTATTGTCCTTTGACCCTGGTGACAGTAGCCACGTGAATGTTCTCAGGTGACAGTGGGTTGACGGCCTCCAGTTTCATGGCCTCTTTGAAGCTGTGATCACATTGCTCCTGGCAGGTAAACAGAAGCTCACATGTGAGCTATTTCTCAGCAAAGGATGGTCGTGTGTTGGGTGATTTTTGTCTATTATGAAAACCATATACACATAAATATACAGTATCTCACAAAAGTGAGTGCACTCCTCACATTTTCGTAAATATTTGATTATATCTTTTCATGTGACAGCGCTGAAGAAATGACACTTTGCTACAATGTAAAGTAGTGAGTGTACAGCTTGTATAACTGTGTAAATTTGCTGTTCAACAGAGCTTCACAGGTTGCCACTGGAGTCCTCTTCCACTCCTCTATGACAAACATCACGGAGCTTCTTTGGGTCGACCATGGCGAGGCCTGTTCTGAGTGGAACCTGTCCTTTTGAAACGCTGGCCACCGTGCTGCAGCTCAGTTTCGGGGTTTTAGCAATCTTATTATAGCTTAGGCCATCTTTATGTAGAGCAACCATTATTTTTTTCAGATGGGCCCAATTTGGACATTTTCATTTAGGGGTGTACTCACTTTTGTTGCCAGCGGCTTAGACATTAATGGCTGTGTGATGTGTTATTTTGAGGGAACAGCAAATTTACACTTTAAAGATATAATCAAATATTTACAAAAATGTGAGAGGTGTTCTCACTTTTGTGAGATACTGTATATACATATTTGCCTCTGGTAAAAGTCCCAGTGAGCCATCTGTTTACAACTCATCACACTGCGGACACATAGTATCATCACTGGCATTCCATTATGCCGTCAGTCGAATGGGCAAAATCTCATTTCATACATTCTGTCAAAAACATTTCTGACTGTATGGGATAGCAAAATATAAAATAAATTTCCTCCAAAGTATAAATGACTATAAATCTGCAAACAGAACTGACTATATGCTTATGAGTGTGCTGTAGAGAAACCAGTATGTGTTATAGCACTGATCTGAGCCATACTTAACTTCTGGTCCCCAACTCTAACTCTTTCTGCATCAAAACCATCCATGTGACAAACAGTTTACACAAGAGGTGGCCACAAGATGCACAAGGTGTGGTTATTTTCAGTCTCATAAAAAAATGTCTGAAGCTCGTGTTCTGAATATATGGCTTTAAATCACATACAGTAGTGATTCAAATTCTATTCATTCATGCAGGCACACTGCATTACAGCAGAGATCTCATGCAGCCTTTATATGACAGTTTAATTAATTTAATTTAATCATATTACTCTACCACAAATTTCACATTTAATTGTGATTTTGACCAATAAAGAGCACAAAATGTGCTTGGAACCAGTTAGTAGCTCATCTCAGATTGACTCTTTCAGCGAACGATCACCACCACGGTTACAAATGTGGGTCTGACCAGCATCTGGTGGCGTTTTTTTTTTTTTTAAAGAGCTCATATTGTGCTTATATTCATTTTATTCAGGGGTTGTACCAGAACAGGTTTACATGGTTTAATTTTCAAAAAACACATTTTTTTGTCATACTGCACATTGCTGCAGCTCTTGTTTTCACCCTGTGTGTTAAACACTTCGTTTTAGCTATGAGACTTGCACATGCGCAGTTAAGGACAACTAGCCAATCAGAAGCAGAGTAGGGCGGGTCCTGAAAAGCCAGTAAACATGGCTTCGGTTCAGCTGTATATGTTACCCTTACCAACTTAGCAACATGGACTGGAGCAAGAGTTTCAGAGTGGGGAGTTATTAATTTGTAACGAATGTATCTTTCATCCAGAAAGTTTTAACTCTCTACATCACAGAAACAACTTCATGCCCACTGACTGCCTGTAGCTAATGTTTGGAAGGGAGAGGAGAGGCAGCAGGCGGATGTCTTGTCACTGTGTGCTGAAGCTCAGAGTGTTTTCCCACCGGTGTTCTTGAGGGCGTAAATTTCATCTCACAGTAGGGGGGGACAATAAACTATTTTGGAGGGGGACACAAATAATACAGCCATAATTGTACCTGTAGGCCTATAGGATACGTGTACACAGAGAGAAGTCTTACTACTATTTTTCTGGCCAACAACACAAAGCAATAGTTGTTTAAATATGACTTTTAGATATTAGATATTTAACGGCAGCAGGCCAACTGCTCTGCCACTTAACCTCATAATTCGCAAAACCCAACACAATGGTAGATCTACAGTATCAGCCTAATATCGGTTCACACACAGGATTATCGCTGTAGATGAGATGCACAAATTACAGTTTTCCTGGCTGATTCCAGTTAGATTTTTTAAAGGTCTGACCTGCCGATTCTGATTTTGGCCGATTCCGATTTTATTTCTTTCTAAGATCTATAACTGATAGCATACACAAACATTTTTGTAACTATTTATTGGAAAAATCTAGGATCCCCATCAGCACCAGTATAAATGTTAGCTATTCTCACTAGTCTCAGTTGTTTGGTCATAATGAAGCACTGATTATAAAATAAATTTTTTTACTGGAAGGAGCTAAAAATAAATTGCACACGATTTTAATTCTACTTAATTCTCCAATTTATTTTTGTGTTTAATCACAAACTACAGTAATCAGCTCACCTTTCTTTTCCCTTCAGACACACAAGCACACACCTACACCTGTCTGTCTGTCTCTGTCTGCTCTGACTTTATTTGTCAGCAGTTTTATTTAAAAGAACTCGCATTGGGTTTTTCACCCGCGATTCCGTTTTCACAGCGGCAGATGAGCCGCGTGTGGAGGAGGCTTGCTGTTAATTACCGATAGAGCCCACCATGGTATGAATGACATCGTCACCAACAGCTGTGTTCACTGTTGCTTTACCTGCTCCCTGCTTTACAATATCCACAGCGTCTCTTTCTGTGTGTTACTCTGCAGAAGTAAATAAGATAGCGTTGCGTCTTCTTCACTCTCGTGAATAACTTCCACACACCTAGGACGTGTTTTAGCGTGTGTGTGTGTGGCTGTGACACGAGGTTACTGTCTGTGCACACATGTGAAACACGGCCGTGCAGCGTGTTTATAACGTTCATTGTCAGCAGCAGAAAATTGGATATTTGACACTGCTCAACCCCGGTCACTGGTCGGAGCCGAGTAAGCGAAAATAAATGGCCTATTTCAGTCCCCAGCTGATCAATCTGCGCATCTCTAGCTGTAGAAGATGAGTTCCAGTCCAATAAGCTGTTAAACAAGCTACTAAACAACCTAGGTAATGTTATAATAACTGAGTGGGCTCATAGAAAAATAATCGGTTATCATAACTTTCTGTCATTATTAATTTATTAATGACTCAGCATCATCTGTATTAAAAGACAAAATAATCAGTTCATCCAATGTTTAAAGTGCATAAAACAGCCCTGCCAGCCTGCTTAATATTACTGGAGCTCCACAACTATTGACGAATTTGAACTGGTTTTCTGCCACCGGGCTCCTGTGAGGGAAAGCAGGCAGTGGACCAAACCACTGTGAGGCAAGAGAGGGGGACTCAAATATTTCTAAACTTAAAAAGCACTTTCATTGCCCTGTTTGCATCTGTATTGTTTTACTATTTACACAATTATTTTAAGTATATATCATTATATTATTTGATGGTTTTTAAAGGGGGGACACCCCTCAGATGTGGGGGGACATGTCCCCCCTGTCCCCCCCGTGATTTCCGCCTATGGCCGTACTAGCCACTAGGCGAGCATTAAGACACGTGTTTTCTTGTGATGTCACTAGAAAGCGGAAGTCTGCACTACAAACGAGCTGTTTTCAGGCAGTTTTTTTCTGTGGGAAAAGGAGAGGGAAAAAGCCTAAAAGAATACTATGACCTCTTTAAATGAGTCGCTCTGGGAATCATGAATGTCTGTACCATCTTTCATGACAATCCATCCAATAGTTGAAGACCCACTAACTCACATTGCCATCAACCTTCATGTTCACTGGACATGAGACCACCCTTTACACTGATGCCTGACCAGCGTGAACTTGGTATAAAAGGGATAAAACAGAGGTTGACTTACAGTTGGGAAGCAATGCTGGGGAGCTGCCTCTGCCTCGCACTGTTTCAGGTAATCTGCCCAGTCAAAGTCTGGACCCCGGTATCCTGTATGTGATAAGATGGGGAAATAATGGACAGAAAGGGAGAAGCAAGGGCAGATCAAGGGAACAAATAAAGCCAGGGAGAGAGGGGGAAAGAACACATGAGTGATGTAATTCACTGCCATTCCTTACTTTCTGACATTGCTGATGACTGATAAAGTAACTGGTTATGAAGGGATAACATTTGACAGAGCAGACCTGGTGGGGGACTGAGAGGGAGCCCGTTTTTGAGGCTCCACTGAGCAGGGAAGATGCCTGGACTGTCTCTGTGACACAGAAAGGACCTCCCAGCACCCTCTGACTCCTCAATACCACAAAGGTCATCCATCATCACCAGGAAGTAATGCTCATTGAACACCTGAAGTGGAGAGAAGGTCATTTTGGGACACTTCAAGACATTTTTAATTGACAGATGTAAAGTTTTTGCCGTCTACCATCTCAAACTAAACTACAGTAGGAGGAGGAGAACCACTAGACCGTGATTATATAGCAACATTTTGAGTTCAAATGGACATTGTTTCATCCTTTTATTTGTAAGAGGGGTGATCATTTTTTAGCTACAGATTTAACAAAGTAGAGTGTTAATGGCAATAGAAAGCATAAACAACTAAGGCCCGGAGAAAAACATTGCAGCATAGTAGAGACATATTTGATAGGAAAGTCTGTTACCTTGGTGACAGTGGCGGGCCTGATGGAAATAGGAGCAGCAGGGTCAACAGCCTCCAGTTTCATTCCTTCCTTGAAACAATGAGCAGCGATGGCAGGCTGGTCCTGAGACAACACACACACACACACACACCCGCGCACACACACACACCTGTTAATAATGTTTCAGCCCCAAGTTTTGGGGAGAATGTCACAAGTCTTTGCTTAAAGCATAATTATCAAATCTTAACCAGCGGATAAACAGTGATATGTTTAGGTCAGTAAGAACAAATAAGAGTATGGTTGGCAGTACCTTACTGAACTCTGCAGTCAGAGCTTCATCCTGAGGCAGGTCACTGATTCTCTGTTTCACCTCCTCCCACTCTTCCTCTGTCCGCCGGGCCAACAGGTCTGAAACAAACCCATTCACACAAATCAGCTGCTGAAGAGCTAAACCTGACTTCCTGATGACTAGAAACTATGTTGATTATCAAACACATATTTAATGAAAAGGTAAAACGTACATGTGACTGAATTTCACTCTATGCAATGGCATAGACTCGGCAAAACATAGTATGTGTGTCAGCTTGTTCTTTGTTCTGGACCTCCTAATATGTCGCCAATAGGCTGCAACAATTAAAAGACGCAAGCAAAAAAAAAATGTTGTCCTTCACAATTTTGCAACCACAAAACACATTAACGTCTTCTCACAGGGTATTAGGTTCAAGATGTAACAAGGTGATGTGCAGGATTAATGAGGCTGAACATCTGTTGTTACCTTTCATTACATATAAAAAAAGCATTATATCTTTGCTATTCTTTTATGACACAATAAAAATAAGTAATAATAATAAAAAGGCTATGATTATGATAAGTGTAATGCACCACTACTGGTCACTACATTCTGTTATTAACTTGCAAAAGCACAGTATTCAGGTACAAACTCTTAGCAATAAAAGCCTGGCATTAAACATTAATAAGGCATTAGCTGTAGGTGTTGCAGAGGGTAGATCAGCTGTATCAGGAGAGAGACGCAGCTTCCAGTGCGTCTTACATCCTGCATATAAACAAACTTTATTCACTTGAATAACATTAGCAGATCGTGGCCCTGAAAACCATGATCTATCTTATCCTGCATGGAAAATCAATTTCAAGGTCTAGTGGGATACCATCAGATTTTGAATATTGGTTCTTTGTATTTCATCACTATTCACTTGTCAGTGAAGTATTGGAAAATGCTAATATAAATCATATAATGACAGGTCTGATTGAGCAATTGGGAATAAACATAAAATACTATTATTTTTTCAAATAATTAGTGATAAAAACATTTGATCTGATACAATGACTCTATTTAAAGTGGTAATAAGACTATATTATATAATAAGACATGCATCCAGTGTATGATTGCCAAGTGAATTTTACATGTGTCCTTTCATCAGAAATCATTACTCATGCCTGCTTTGACAGTAAACCTCAAGATCTAGAAATCATTTTCCCTTTTCTTTTCTTTTCTAAATCTAAAAGTTGAACCGTGTCAGTGCCACTGACCTGACGGAGGCCTAAGGGTGCAGCCGTGCTCTTTGGCCCAGCCGGGTGGGTGGAGGCGTGGGTGTAGGTAATAGAGCCAGAGGGTTGTGGGTGTGTCTGGGAGGCCCTCTGTGCCTACCAGGCGCAGCTTCAGCCTTCCTCCGACGTTCTCCTCCACCTCAGCAGCCCATGCCAGCCCCAGGTCAACACTGTCCTGGAGCTCCACGTAGCAGCCCGCACACAGGAGCTCCACTGGGTCTCTACCACGCTGGGGCTGCAGGGTTGGGGGGTGGGGTAAATGAGAAGCTGATAGCACACACACACTTATGCCAAACACAAATGAACACACGCCTAGGCAAGGCGAGGAATTTGTACTGGGAGAGAATGCACTGCATGACTAAGTGGCAGAACTGAAGCACAGTCACTGAAAGCTAACAAATGGCTCTAAAGAATTTCACAGGCTATTCCTACAGCAAATTTGCTTTCAGAAGCGCAACCTTGGTGGCATAAACAAAAGCTCAGAGCCTTGTTTTTTGGATACTTGGGAATTCACGCAGGGTACACATGCAAGACTTCATCATAGATATAAAATCCTATTCTGTTCATCTATTCCAATGGACATTTTAAGTGTGAAGTTGTTTCCCTGTCTGTTTGCCATTTCAAAATGGCCATAAAAAACAAAAGTGCTTGGAGATATAAAATATACACTACAAAGACAATAAAAACAAGTAGCAAACAACAGTAAAACAAAACATGACAGTTGTACAGCATGTGTGTGTGTGTGTGTGTGTGTGTGTGTGTGTCAAGACTGCAGAGTCACTGGTTGTGATTCTGATCACCTGAGGGTATAAACTGTCAACTTGGTGTTTTTTTAATGTCAGTTGTATTTACTGAACTTGCCTTGCCACTTCAACATTATGGGGGAAAAGTCTGGCTTTGTTATGACAACCTCAACTGTTTTATTTACTGCAGTATTTATTACATGTGTTTTTAAAGCTGTCAAATGAATCAAATCAGTATGGAGAAAGAGGGGATTGTTCTTGGCACATACAGAGACGAAAGCTAACGCCCCACCCCCTGGGTGGGAGAAGTTTCTAAGACGGATCTGTTCCCCTGCCTTACCAATTCCAGCAGGTTGGCAGGAGCACTGCACTCCTCCGCCAGGGCCTTTTCCAGCAGAGCATCACAGTCCTGGTGCTTCTCTCGCACACCTGAGGCGGATCATACACGTACAGTGTTTAGTTTATCAACCAAACAACCAGGTGGGCTCAGGACGTCACACGTAGACATACACTACTCTGCCTGGTCTCTCTTAGGCACTCTAAATCACAGCATCAGCCATAAAAAAAGATAACTACTGGAATTAAATCACATTATTTCATCTAATAGGTCATATGGTAAGCAACTTGCATTTGTGTTATCTAATAGTTTCATGCAGCTGCCACATTCTAAGCAGACAAATCAAGTATTTCAGTTACTCTGGCATTACATTTCTTAATATTTCTTTGTTGCAACAATATCTAGGTCCCATGTGTTATTGGGTCACATTAACCAAAGATATAGAGAAGAAAAACTGAAAATGCTTTAGCACTTTACATTAAAAACTCTAAATATCTTGCCCATTTTCCAGACAAAACTATTCCTCATGAAACGTATAAAACTGAATATCAGAAGGGCAATGCAAGTGTTTTACCTGAGACAACCGGAGAACAGAAATATAACTAAAATATTCATTACTCCTTGCTATACTGAACAAAAGTGCAATTACTTACTACCACCGTTAAATAGCACCTGTCCTTGAATCACACTCAAAGAAAAGAAAATCTTATTTAAATCCTTAAGTGGAACAACTAAATGTGTCTAAAGTTAACACAAAAGATGTATAACATTAATATCTACAATTTATCACCAAAATGGCAAGAGAATTTTTGGCATGTAGCATCAGCCATGTTTTATATGACTGCTCAGCTCTACAGGAAAAACAGTGACCATGCAATTTTTCAAGAATCCATTGGTGGATTGCAACTTTAATTTTAACTCCCACAGCTAAAGAAAAAAAACAAAAACAAAACACCATGCCAACACCACCCATGCCTCACCCTCAGGGGCCCTCATGGTCTTCCCATGCTGGCGGCTCCAGCCCAACGGGTGGAGGTCTGCCGTCATGATGTCACACCAGAAGTCGGCACGCCGGTCATCCTGGTATCCCTCGTAGCGTAGCAGCAGCAACTGGCCACATGTGGTGATGATGTTGGCCACCCAGTAAGGACTGTCAGCCTCTGAGCGCACACACACCTCCAGCTTCATGCCTGGAGTCAGCCCAGTCTGCAGACCCTGGTCCACCTTAAACAAGGACAGAAGATCGGATATGGAAACAATTACTTGATCGCAGTTGGAAGTTTGTGTTGCTTTGTTCACACAGAAAAAAACAACTTACAAAAGGTACAATGAAAAGCAAATAAGATATATATTTATTCTATGCTATTATAGTCTTTTATTTCAGTTAAACCTACCTGTCAGTTTTCAGCCAAGTATCACATGTTTAAACTGTTCTACAGAAGATTTGTTACAACTGGTGATGCTACAGTGACATCTGTGTTTATGGTGCTTTATGATTGGATGCTTCCTTGAAACAGATTTAGACCTTACGAGCTGACACATTCCATAACCTTGAGTCATGCTTTCTGATATAATACACAGTTAGAAACTAACTAGTGGGTACTTGAAACTTTGTAAGGACATTTAACAGATGTTTAGGAATTGATTATGAATAGCTGGTACACGCTTATCCAGTGATGCATGTTAGCTGTAACGGTTGTCAGCACCCACATGTTTGAAGGCGTGATGCGGCACAGACACGGCTCCAGTCTCCTCCAGGTAGTCATCCCAGTTAAAGTCAGACACATCCTGAGCAGAGTCACCATCTGGAACACACACAACACATTTCTCTTTTCCAACATATTATCTTACTAATTTCATGCAGCTGTTTCACAGAGTAGTTCTTACCAGACTCCAATGACTCCTGACTCATGCTGGTGCCCCCTCAAGGCCAAGACTAGGAGCTCTGAGGAGAAACAGAGGAGGAGGATTATTATCCAGTGAGAGATCATCTGCAGCACACTAGGCTCTGCCTATGTTTAATAAAATCTCTATCCGTAGATCTCAGCATTACTCAGTAATCTCTGAACGTGCTTCTGTTTTCAACAACTATATGATTAATGGGACAGGTGATACCACTGCCTTGTAACAGCCCATTCAGCAGTTCACAAGCCAAACTGTATCAGCAAAAGATTACACAATGTGCTGGAAACAGCAATCAAGACTTACTTTAGCTGGCTAACATACCTACACCACACCACCAAGGACACATGACAATCCTTCAGCTACAGTTAATAAAAATATTATCAGTCAACATTCAACACATTATTATACAAGCAACCGTGACAATAATTAGCCAGCAGAAACTTTAGGTCAAGCGCGATATTAAGAAAGACAAAATTCAACAGCTTTAAATTACAAACACTGCATCAATGTCAAAATAAAATGAACTTGCATTTATTTGGATTTTTCAGCTATTCTAAAATCAAGGACTCTTAGGCCTTGATAATAGACCTGTTCAGATACCAAATCCCTGGTTAAGTTACTACATCAGTATTCAAGTGCTTTTATCTGGTCCTGGACTCAATCAATATAAACTAGGAGATGTGGTAAATAAAATCACAAATTACATGCCGCGTATTTGCCATTCATTAGGGTTTTACAGGCTACCACCTACATAACCCCAGATGGTATGTGATTGCCCGGAAATATATTAAACTATGCTAGTCACACCCAGCTTCACCTCACTTGTGCTCATCTTTTTTTAAACCGCGATCGAATACCGTTTCCTGCCTCCGATGTGCAAATTTCAAACAGTGCCATGACATGAATGTGGACACACATGTCAAGCTTTGACACATCAAACTGACCCGCACGGCAGCATTGTGAAGAGCAGATGAAATAAGTTAATACAACAAGAGAGATGGCATGAATGAGAAAGAAGGGAGCGCTGGGCGTGACAACAGTGGAGAGAGCGGTGTATGGGACGCTGAGGATAGCTGCTCTGTCACGGCAGCTCCATTCAGCCAGCCTGTCAGGCCTGTCTTTGTCACATCTGACGTCTCTATTAAAACCAGGGCCGCCACCATCAGAAAGCCCCCCCCCCCCCCCCCTCCTGCCGACCGGACTGCCACCACGACCCCTGTGCTCCACCGGGATCAGCGCCACCTTTCACCCTTCCCAAGACTCCCTCCATCTTTCTCCCCCTCCCTCTGACACATACATACACACCAGAGGGCCTTATTGTCCCAGGGGTCACACTCCTCACATAATAGTGCAAAAAGAGCAGCAGTGACAGGAGTAGAAATACAGACCTAAAGTTAAGAAGCTCTACAATCGATTTCATGGCTTTTCTATGTTTGTGAACATTTTTGATGCAATTTGAAACAAGATGAAACTGAATCAGTATGATATATTGATTACACCACTTCTGAGAACTATCATTTGAAATTCCCAAAGATGTGCTTTCAATATTTGCTCTGACTTATTCGACTGCCTAAGCTTTAGGTTTCTGCAGCAATTAACTTTGTTGAGCAACACGGCCTCGGCTTGTACGGGCAGACAGGAAGAAATGCCACTTCCCCTGTTTCATATACTGCAAGTGTTCTGTGTGGACCACAGCTAGCAGTCTGCCTGAATCTTTCTGCACAACCCTAGACTCTGACTGAACCTGAAAGAGAAAGGGCCAACACACACCCACGCAAAAACACACACACAAACAAGCACTCACAGACGGCTGAGATCCACACTACACCCTCTTTATAAGCACTCACTGAATCATGTTCTCATCAGCACTTAGCATGCGATTGAGTATATCTAAAAAGGCCTTCCTGAACCTCTGAAGTCCCTGGATAGGAAATGCAATCTGACAAAACACACATTCACATATATACACACACACACACACACACACACACAGTACAACTTCTCCAGGAAATAAAACCAAAGTCAACTTTCAATAAAATGAAGTTAGCTGCTAAAATATTTCATTTAATAGCATCTGCTGATCACTAGTAAATGACAATACATTATAAGCAGTAATGTAGCGGAAAATAAGACGGGAAATAAATTAGTATGCCCTCCTGTACATACTGCTACATAAAAAAAACAGTTGCAGTAGTTTTATACCATGTGTTTTATGAATTTGCGTCACTAAAAAGCTTAAAGGTTTATTTCAACCAAAGTACAAAAACCACATTTTTACATTTACCAGTAGTGCTATTGAGCCATTCAATTAGTTTTGGTTCTGTGGTGCCAGGTTTTGACATATCAGTCTCTGAAATGTATGCCTTCTGTACAACGGGAGCGATTGGATTTTTGTTTGTGGTACCAAAACATTGGAAAATTACATTAAAAAATTCAGCAGTAGAGCTGCAAGGAGTAGTTGATTAATCGATTAGCTCTCAACTATTACATTAATCCTCAACTAGTCTATTTTGAAAGTTTCTCTTAGAAATAAATTCCAAATCCTTTGATTCCAGATTAATGTGAATATTTTCTCTTTTTTCCCATCTCTGTGACAGTAAACTGGATATCTTTGGGTTGTGGACAAAACAAGACATTTTAGGACATCCTCTTGGGTTTTGGGAAACACTAATCAACATTTTTCACCATTTTCCGACATTTTATAGAACAAACTACTAATCGATTAATCGTTAAAATGATCAACAGATTAATCGATAATGACAATAAATGTTAATTGCAGAACCCTTCAACAGCAACATCTCTTCAGAAAAACTCTGCATTACCAAACTAAATAATCAACAGTTGTCACTGTGAACAGCTTACATAGGAACTATTTCTTCGGTAGAAAGTAGGCGTAGTTCCAAAGAAAGTTTTTTCTGGAAAGAGATGCTGCTGTTGAATATTACAAATGTAAGTTTTTAATGCTGTGAGCACCACAAATACAATTCCACTCACTTCTTTAGTATTGGGGTGGTGGCAGAAATCACATTGACTGATGTCTCAAGACTTGGCACCATAAAACTAAAACCATCTGGCAGATGGATCAATGTCACTATTGGTAAGTGAGATAATATGGGGGCATGTTTGTAATATCGGTGCAATGACCCTTTAAAAAGGCTGGTAAATAAAGCTGACAGGTAAACACTCCATGGCATTCCTGATAGGACTAATTAGTCCCGATAAAATCGAGAAACAAATTATTGTGCAGCCCAGTGAAGGTTCCTATTATGGCGATTTAAATAACTTTAAATACCCCAAACATCATTAATATGAACATTATGGCTGCCAAGAAAGACCAAGTATTAGGAGTTGGCCTGCTCAGTGGATGGTAATTCACGAGCTCTGTCAAACTGACCTCTAATTCTGTCAACTAGCCGACCTGCTATAACTTCAGACCAAACAGGCAGCTGAAATGAAAAATCCACATTTCCTCCACACAGCACGCATACACAACAACGCTATTTGATTCAGTTGCAATAATGCTGCTCGTTGCCATTATATAGCGGCACGTCAACCGGAGCAGCGCTGCCAGCAGATCACTCAAGTTGCACAATAGGGAAGTTAAGAGCCAGAAAGAAAAATAGACTGCAATAAGTCAACGTGGGGTACGACAACAAAATGACAACCTTCTGAGCATCATCCTGTTCATCTGCGGTTAAAAGCAGGCTGGAGTCGGTGGCATTTATAAACAAATGAGTTTATATTGCTATTCAGCGAGAGCTACACAGAAATACAAATCGGCTGAGGTCGTGCAACCTTCATTATGTAAGACTTCGACATTATAAATATACTGAGTTTTTCAAGGGCAAATCTCTGGAAATTTCCACACAATCCTTGAACTGAAACTAGCTTAAGGTTGCGATGCTTGTGCGGACTAACCGCAGCATTCAGAAACAGAGATGGGCCATTAACGCAACGGATATGCAGAGAGACCACAGTGCCGTCTTAACTTTCACACTGAGGAGAACATGACAGATACCGATTGGAAAAATTGGGGGAAATGCTGTCTAATAAATAAACATGCGGTCCTAAATGTATAGCGACCGTGTGGGAGTCATTGAACACATGGTAAATCGCCTGTGTCCGAGTCAAGTTACTGAACGTCACAGCTTGAGCAATAAGAGCAGGCTGACGAGCAATAAGGGCGCTTACACTCGACCGAACCCGACTCGTCTTTTTGAGAGACGGGAAAAAAGACGAATGCGCCACCACAGTACAAAACACCGTAAGGAATTTGTAACAAACAACACAGAGTATGTGAATATTTAGTCGCAAAATTCGCCCCTTACCGCTAAGTAGTTTTTCCAAGTCGGTTTTTAGATGCCGTTCCTCTCCGCCTGCTCGCTCGCAGCACTGTTAAGTTAATGTGAATACAAACCGGGAGCCCCGGTTGAATGTTTCAAAATAAAATGGTTATAAGAGCGGGTGCTGAGACCGTCGTCCAAGTAACAGCGGGACTTTTGTGTTGAGGATCAAATCCGGATGCTTCCGGTGTCGCTGTAGCAGCGTACTGCTAGCCTGACGCAGTTCTCGTTCACGACCTCATTCCAATATGGCACAAATGGCCACTGCGCATGTTCTGCCGCCTATATGCCTCTGAGCCCGGCTACATCACACTGACTTCCATCTTCACACACAATAAAATGTCACACAACCAGAATGAAAACCCAAACCTACAACGCGCAAAAAGAAAATAATAAAAGAACAGATTATGGTTTTCGTTTGCATTCATTGTTACAAGGACACGAGAGCTAACCTGAACAGTCAGTCGTTAAAAGGTTTGATCCCCAGCGGAATCAACACTTAGTTAATGGTTGAGCTGGAATTAATTGCACATATAATCGACCCACTTTCTATAAGTGGAGTCACGCAGTTCGTTCTGTAATAAAGTAGCCTATAGACTGTGTTATTGAAGATGACCTCGAGTTGCTTAATTTCCCTTCAATATATTATCTATCAAGTAAATAAAATGGCCCCACATTGCACAACAAAAGGCTTAACTATACTTTTGAAATAAATCACAATAACGCCCTATCATAATGACTGGATAAAATTATATGTGTCACTGCTGGTACGGTACTTCTGCTACACAAGGATCTCAAGTCGGGTTTTTGGAGGAGAGACTGCTGGAAATATACCATGACACTGTGAGTATAATGCTCAAAGTATATCTATTTCGTGTAATAAATACGCTTTCTTTATTAAGTAAGCGTATTTGTCGTTTTGGAAAACGTTTCTAGGAGCCTTCAAGCCGATTCCGTACTAGTCACAAACTGGTTTTGCCGCTCACTTGGACCATAGAAAGGCTACTGCTTCAGTTAATCCTCCACAATAGACCAACCCTTCCGATGCCTATTCTAACAAAAGAAAAAAATATCCGCGTTTTGCATGCGTTGACGTGGAAACAGCACAATAAATGTGGGCTAAAGAAAAGCGATTGGATCTTGCCTGAACAGCCGAAACAATCGGAGATCCATGAATAAATGAAAAGGGGGTAGGCATTTACTCCCAGATTCATTCATTTGATTAAACTGTGAAAAGGTTCTCTCTCTATAAGCTTTCAAACAGAGGAGTATATGCAACTCATATTTTGAAAATAACAACAAAGAAAAAAACATGCATTTATGGATGTTGTTATTTTGCATTTTGGATCGTGCTTTTTAATCTGACATTTGTGTGGGGTCATTTTATTTTTAAAGCTTATACAACTTTAATGCTGCATTTATCCACAGGGCTGTTTGCATAGGCAAATGTCTCAACAACTTGAACAGGTTTATTGCTCCGAGCTGGTCGCTGTTTTATGCCTCATGTTTGGAATTTGTTCACTGGCCACATCCTGCAGCAGGCAACGGATTACTGCCGGGGACGCAGGACAAGGACAGGTCATAAACCGTGCGCACTGCAGGAATGTCTCGTCTTCCGTCCACACGTTACACGGGGAGCTGCAATTATAGCACCTGACCGTCAGATGGCAGTAACGGCTACAAGTACTGCTCACATGCCAACAAAATCCCCGTGGTACTGGGGAATGTTTTGGTGTCCTTAAGAAGGACTTTAGTGCCTGAGATGAGATATTGTAGATACTACGACACACTGTTAAATATGGGTACCATAAAATAGCAAGCAACCACTGGAAACCAGCACTGACCAGAACACATATACACTGTAGGCTATTTAAAAATCTACATTTGAAGCATTGTGATACACAAGTGTATAACACATGTAAATTAAATCAAGTGACACTGGCTGACAGGCATTGAGAGTTTACAGTGTATTTATTTATAATCAGATTTAAAAGATAAATGAGGAGAGTAAAAAAAGTACACCCATAACTCACAGACAGTGCATTGTAATGTACACATTCATTTTCCATATACAGCACTATTATTTTCATGTTAAAATTCCTACATTCAAGTAATCACACTTATAAGACCCTCTGCTTACAGTGAAATGCCTACCCTTCCCATATAAAATAACACATCCTTCATAACACACACACACAAACACACACATACATATATACACATACATATATATATGTATGTGTGTGTGTACAGGTATCATACCATTGCTGCAACCTTCCAGTGAGTCTGATGCTAGCCCAGAAATTAATATTATGTATGGAATGATTGTTTGTTCTATGCTTCAGTTTGATATACAACAAGAGGTTTGACACCAGTGGCACACAAAAGACTAGACTAGAAGGCTGCCATGTAGAAATCCTGTGCTAAAAAAACCCCCAAAACACATTAACTCTTTTGAGGGTATGTGAGACTCTGGGGTGTGCTTAGAGCACCTCCTTTCTCAAGACAGTGCAGTTAGCGAGGGAGGAAGCTAATCAGTTCTGCTATAACATTATTTCAATTCAGAGGGATTTAAATTTCCTCCAACTTTATAGAATAGCTCTTTTTATGATTCCTATATCTATCCTTCAGCCAGAGGGAACCGCTGAGGATTCATTCAACAACAGACAAAGTTACAGATTACAGTAGCACCAATTGCATCCACAAAAAAAAAGAAAGAAATATACCTGCACACACCCACACACTTGTAAGCATGCACACACACAGACACACAGACACACACACACACACACACAGGTGGGGTGTAATAGGCGGCATACAGTAGGCAGAGTACAGGGTGAGAGTAAATATGGTATGCACCACTGAATTCTCTTTGACTTGGGTGTGCAATGCTGGGTGTATATGGTCGTATAACTAGATAAGGGTGTCATGCTTGTGCCTGTGAATAAAAACTTTTCAGATACAGTACATTAGATGATTCGTATAGATTCAAAGTGTGATCACATGGAAAAATGACAGAAAATTAAGAAAAGACAGAATGCATCATTGACAATCGTCCTGCATTGATTATGGTAGCACTGGTTTCTTAAGAATCTCCCATAATTTCCTGGAGCTTTATATTCTTTTATACACCTATACAGTTTGCTAGTGTCAGCAAACATCCAGGTTTCATTTGATCTCATCCTCTAATCGAGGAACTAAAGAAGTCATAGTCAAGCCCAAATCTTTTTATGTACTTCTTCTTATCCATCCAGTTGAACTTAGACCATATGAAAATAAAGGGAATAGCATGAGATAAGTGTGGGGCTAAGATCGTGTTTCCAGGGGAGCCATTTAGTTTTTTCATTTGCTTATTATTTGTTCCAAAGTGGGGTTGACGAAGGAAAAGCCAGCGAATGCAGCCTGGTCCATGGAGTCAATGAGGTTCTTGTCTGCGTGGGAGAGCCGCGGCTTCTCGCTCAGGAACTCTCGGTCAAAGTTGCTGCAGTCACTGGGGGATTTCTGTGGGTTGCAGGTCAGGTATTTCAGTTAGGTTAATATAACAAAGCACACTGGAGTAATCGGGAACCTAGATGCATGCAATCATATTTATACAAATGTATTTCAGGTACCACATATTCTGTTCAGAAACAAAATCATAGGCTCTTACCACTTTGGGCCTAAAAGGAGGCTCCACTTCTCTCTTTTCCAGCGCTGGCCAGTTGACTACTTTAAAGAACGGGTGAGCACGGATGTTTCCCACCACACCCAATCTGCGAGTGGGATCTCGCTCAAACAACTGAAATAATGACAGAGGGAAAAGAAATTGTGGACCCAATTGTGGACAAAAGTGTGCCTAACAATATATGTATCCCCTTAGTTACCAGTTCAATAAGGCTCTTAGACTCCTTGGTGATCCACCGAGGGTAGTGAGGGATGTCCGACCTGATGGCCTCAAACAGCTCATCCTCATCGTCACCCTGGAAAGGTGACTGACCAATCAGCATCTCGTACACCAACACACCGAAAGACCACCAGTCTACTGAGAAGGTGTACTTCTGTCCTAGCAGGATCTGAGATGAGAGACAGTTTTACAAAATACATCAGAAGTTAGTAAGGAGAACAAGGACACACAGTGTCAAGATGGAAGCACTCTGCTGTTGTTCACCAGTATTACAGAAGCCAAGTGAATAACTCTAGTAACACTGCCATGCCTCCTAATGACTAAGGGGGCATGTAGACTATGAATGGATGCATGACAAGACGGGTAATGGGCTTCACATTTAAAAAAATATATAATAAAACTAAATTGCAGAATAAACATGTGACATCAGCCAGGCCCTGAAGCTAACCTCTGGTGCGATATAGTCTGGTGTCCCACAAAATGTGGTGGCTCTGGCCTCTCCAAACACTTTTTCTTTGCACATGCCAAAGTCAGCTATCTTTATATGTCCATCTTTGTCCAGCATCACATTGTCCAGCTTCAGATCTCTGAGAAAAAAAGACACAGGAAGAGATATACACAATGAACAACTAGTTCTGCTATATTTCCCTTTGAAATACTGTACTCTAAAATCAACAAAGAGATTCAGTTCCAGTGTACACTGTTGCAGTAACGGGTTTCAGATGCCAGGTCTTACCTGTAGATAATTCCTTTTGAATGGAGGAACTGCAGTCCCACTATTATCTCAGCAGCATAGAATCTGAGGGTTGAAATGTGCAGAGCAACCATTAAACACAGTTTTACTGCGATTTGGAGCTTAAGTTACGCATCCTCCATTGTGGAAAACGACGGTTGCTGTATTACTCATAGTTCTTAACATGGTATCCCAGTGTACTTACGTGGCTCTGTTGAGATCGAAGCGACCTTTGTCTTGAATGTGGAACATCAAGTCACCTCCATTCAGGTACTCCATAACAAAGAAGAGGTGCTCCTGTACAAAACATTATTGTCAGCGCACTGTTGCAGACAAATTAGACATGAAGAGTATGTGAGAGAGGATGGATTCAGATAAGGGGGGCAGGGAGTGTTGGTCTTTATCAACAACTGGGAATTTCGCTCTTACTGCTGTAGCTCAGGTTTGTTCCCTATCAGGGTACATGCTTTTAGACGTTTTACTAGAAGAGATGTTCAGGATGTGTGTGCTTACTT